GATATCCAATGGGGATCTCTCTGAATTGGAATCGACTTGATGGCAGAGGGTTTGGTTTGGTTTTGGAAATATCTCAAACAGTCACTACATTCCAATGACTCAGAGAAAGACTGAAGGATTTCAAATCAGTAATTCTGTGCATTTTTTATGTGACGTTAAAAACTAATATACTTTTTTTAAAAAATATATATATATCAAGTGCATGACAGTGGATTCTAAGAGAATATGTCGTTAGAAATTAAAGTGCAAAATCACATTCTTTGACTATCCCCTTTGTTTTGCCTGAAGGAAACTGCTAATGATTTTTTGACTCAGAAAAAAAAAATGAGATACAAGTAAAGTAAAATCCCCACAATTATTTCTTTATACAAATGGGCATATATTCTTTTATATCACCTTTTTTCTTTACTGTACCATTTAATAAAAATCACTGACAGTACCTGGGTTGCTGTCAGGTGTGGTCGAGTCAGTCCTGACTCTCCGTTATCCTATAGGCAACAGAAAGAAGCCACCTGGTCCTGCACCATCCTCACAGCTCATTACAGCCACTGTTTGAGTCAATCTCTTTTTTACCTCACACATTTTGCTGTCCCTCTACTTTACCAAGTGTGATGTCATTACTCAGGGACTAATCCCTACTCATAGTGTGTCCAGAGTATATGAACAAAGTCTCATCCAGCATCCTCACCTCCAAGGATACTTCTTCCAAGATAGATTTGGTTGGTTTCCTGGCAGACCATGGTATACTTAGTGTTGTTCACAAAAACCATAATTCAAAATCATTAATTCTTCCCCATTTTTCCTTATTTTTTACCCAGCTTTTAAATACAGATGAGGCCATTAAACATACTATGTTTTTTTTTTTTTTTTTTCCCCAGGGCCACCTTACTTCTCAAAACATAATCTATGCTTTTTAATACTTAAGAAAAAAAAAATCTTGGCCATTGAATTTGCAAAATGCAGTACATAATTTTATTTCTCAATTCCTACTTCAATAAGTGTTAATTTTAGACCAAGGGAAATTTCAACCTTGACAACTTGAATATTTTCACTATTCATCATGGTGTTGCTTACTGGCCAAGTGGTGAGGATTTATATTTTCTTAATGTTAAGGTTTAATCCATATCAAAAACTGTGATTTTTTTTTTTTTTTTTTCATCAGTAAGTGCTTCAAATCCTCTATACTTCCAGCAAGGTAGATTCTGTTATCTGCAATCACAAGTTATTAATGAATCTTCTTCCACTCCTGCCGTATTCTTCTTCTTATAGCCCAG